TATTTACAATCAACATATTGATTATGTTATATATATGAAGGTTTATATATGAAGGTTTATATATGAAGCTGTTTATCACAGTGTTATTGACAGTAGCAAAAAAAAAAATCCAACAATGAAAATTGTATACACACTTGCAGAAAGTCATACACCTTTTAAAAATGGGACATATGGGGGCACCTGGGTGGCTCAGTTGGGTAATTGTCCAACTCTTGATCCCAGCTCAGGTCTTGATCTCAGGGCTGTGAGTTCAAGCCCCATGCTGGGCTCCGTGCTGGGTGTGGAGCCTACTTTTAAAAAGTGGGATGTATGAATGCTATCTAACATGAAAATCATGCTACCATGCAAAATGATTAAAAGCACCTATTTGTGTGTGTGTGTGTGTGTGTGTGTGTGTGTGTAAAAACATACAAACATTCAGTAATTCAGACAGTTATAAATAATACACATACTCATTAAAGTTGTATGTTTGTTTTTTTTTAAGAGAGAGAGAGAGTGGGAGATGGGAGGAGAGAGAGGGAGAGAATCTTAAGCAGGCTCCACGTCTAGCATGGAGCCCGACACAGGGCTCAATCCCATGACTCTGGCATCACGACCTGAGCTGAAATCAAGAGTCGGACACTCAGCCAACTGAGCCACCCAAACACCCAAAGTTATATGTCATTTGATACTGAAATAATTTCCTTTAATCCTCTTACCCGTATTCCATTGTGTTCAATAACTATACCTAGATTTCTCTTAATTCCAAAGGTATATATTCTATGGTCACTTTTTCACTTCTATCTTAAAATTGTGAACAATATTGGGGCACCTGGGTGGCTCAGTCGGTTAAGCATCTGACTTCGGCTCAGGTCATGATCTCGTGGTTCGTGAGTTCGAGCCCCACATTGGGCTCTGTACTGACAGCTCAGAGCCTGGAACCTGCTTCAGATTCTGTGTCTCCCTCTCTCTCTCAGCCCCTCCCCTGCTCATGCTCTGTCTCAATAATAAATAAACATTTAAAAAAATAAAATTGTGAACAATATCATACATATAAGAGTATAATGTAGGTATATCGTTTGAAGTGCATCCATTGGGTTTCCACTGGGAACTGGAATTCTACTCGGTTCAACTGAAGAGATGTTAATGAATACACTATTTAAGAGGGTGTGGGTGAGATTAAGAGAACCATGAAGTTGGGCCTGAACCATCAACAACTAGCAACCGTGGGAAGTCCATACCATCTCTGCACTAACATGCAAAGGAGGAAAGCATTTCCGGAGCTCCATGAGCTAGAGCCACAGAAGAGAGGCCTCTGGTCAAGAGTTCCAATTGTGGAAGGACCCAGCCACTACTAGGTCATCAGTCCCAAACAGAGAAGGAAAGTAGAAAACATACCCTACCTCTTTCCTCCTGCTTCCAGTCTCCTCTTCGAAGTGTCCAAACACAAATGGAAACAAAACGAGCTGTGGTGAGCCCAGGTGATACTCTCCAAAAAGATCTGCCTCTAGAGGCATAGAACAGGGAAGGGGAGGAAGAGTGGATATGAGGAAAGGCAAACAGAAAACCCAAATGGTCTGCCTGTTTTGCCACTCAGCAATTATTCTTGCCATTGATCAGGTGAAGAGAAGCTCATCCCCTACACATGAGAATCAGAAGCCTACCAACCACTATACTGCTTTGAGGTGATGTCAATTTGGGTATACTTTGACCTAGAAACTAAATTGTAATATTTGTCTCCACCAGCACTCTTGACACAAGGTAACAATGAAAGAGGGGCAAGGAAGAAATGATTAACATTTTACATGTCTGTTTGTCTCAACAGCTTGTTGCAAGGCTAAAATGGATAATTATAACTTCCTACTTCATTTATGTTTCCCTTGCCCTATGCGGTTCCTTTGTAGATCAGGAACTTTTTGCCTGGTGTGGTGATACAACATTTAATTTCTGCATGTTCTGAAATTTAAGTGGTCTCAACCTTATCAAGTTCCTGCAGTTATTTAATGACCATTAGTACTGCACATGGGAGTATTCAGATATGCCCAGTGAATCTCTGGTCATCGTGCAGAGTTCTCCTTGCCCTGATTGTATAACTGCAACCCAATTTCTCCTTGGTAATTGGGATCAGTTATACCAATTCCATCACAGTGAGAAACCAAAATGATGAAGGGGGCAGATACAGCTTCCAATTCAATAGAACCACAGCTGAGTCCTGTGGTAGAAACATTCCTTTCTTTTGAACTAGGACTTCCAAACATGGTCAAAGTTTGTAGAAATGGTGTGCTGGACATTTTCCATTTGTCCCAGCAGTCTTTGTGCCTAGGAGGCTGACCTCTAAAAACTGCATGAGCCTGGTTTCCTCATCTTTGGCTTCGGGGTAGATCCAGCTAATGGAAGACCTCAGCAGGATATTGGAGCATGAGAGGACACAGACGGGCCTTTCTTTTCCACCCTGTCCTCAATTGGAGCTGAGGGTGTGGCAGTGGCTCCAATGACAGAATCTCACCCTGCTGGGCTAATGGTCAGTACTGACTGCCTTCCTCTGCTGAACAGCATAGCTTCTGTTGGGTAGCCCTCACCCACAGCCACACCTGTGGCTCTTGCCTGGTTTTAGTAACTGTTCCACCCCTCTGGCCCCTTCTGCTCCCAACTATTGCTGGTTATGACTGGTTATTGAATACAAACTATGTGCCAGACACTGTGAGACTTGCCTAAATACATTATGTCATTTAGTCCTCACAGTCCAATAAGTTCGAAGGCTTTTAGTCCTATCGTAGAGATAATATAGTTTTAGAGATTTATGGAAGCGACAGTGACAGAGTTTGACATAGAATCTAGGGGTCCTTATGCTAGGGTCTCTGCACTCAAATACTATTCCCTGCTTCTTTCATCAGTTGATATCCTGCCTTAAAGAATCGAGGTTCCATATGGCTTTGCTCCTGTGGCACAAAGGATACCTTGACAACACACCCGCTCCCACAGTTGGGAACATGAATGCTGGTAAGATTTCCCCATCCAGCCATTCAACAAACAGCATCTGGAATGTAGGACCCAAGCTCCAGAATACTAAGGGTCAGTGCTGACAGCATTAAGGCAAGCCTAGGAGGTTGGTTTGGTGCTTACTCACAGGGAACAGGGAGCTTTGTGTCTATTATTGTGCAGTACCATACTATTGTGCAGTGACAGGATAGACAGCCCAGAAATAAACCCCACATTTATATGGCCAATTAATCCACAAAGGAGGCAAGAAAATACAATGGGGAAATCAAAGTCTCTTCAACAAATGTAGCTAGGACAGCGACAAAACCGGGCTACTTTCTTACACCATACACAAAGATAAACTCAAAATGGATTACAGACCTAAATGTGAGAGATGAAACCATAAAACTCCTAGAAGAAAACATAGACAGTGATTTATTTGACATTGGCCTTAACAAGGGAAACAAAAGAAAACAAACTACTGGGACTACTCCAAAGTAAAAAGCTTTTGCATGGCAAAGGAAATCATCAGCAAAATAAAAAGGCAACCTACTGAATGGGAGAAGATATTTGCAAATGATATATCTGATAAGCAGTTAATATTCAAAATATAAAAAGAATGTATACAACTCAACGCCAAAAGACACAAACAGTCCAATTCAAAAACGGGCAGATGACCTGAACAGACATTTTTCCAAAGCAGACATACGGATGACCACCAGACATGTGAAAAGACACTCAACATCACTAATCAAGGGAAATCAAAACCATGAAAATCAAAACCACAATGAGATATCACCTTACACTAGTAAGAATGGCTAGAATCAAAAACAAAAGAAGTAAGTGTTTGCAAGAATGTGGAGAAAAAGGAACTCTCATGCACTGTTGGTGGGAATGCAAACTGGTATAGCCACTGTGGAAAACAGTATGCAGGTTCCTCAAAAAATTAAAAACTGAATTACCATATGATCCAGTAATTACACTATTGGGTATTTCCCCAAAGAAAATAAAAACACTGATTCAAAAAGATATATTCACCCCTATGTTTACTGCAGCATTATTTACAATAGCCAAGATATGAAAGCAACTCAAGTATCCACTGACAGATGAATGGACAAAAAGATGTGGTACACACACACACACACACACACACACACACACACACACACTGGAATATTACTCATCCATAATGAGATTGTGAGATTTGTAACAGTGTGGATGGAGGTAGAAGGTATGATGCTAAGTGAGACAGGTCAAAGACAAATATCATATGATTTTACTTATATGTGGAATCTAAAAAACAAATGAATACACAAACAAAAGTAAAAACAGACCCATAAGTAGAGAAGAAACCAATGGTTGCCAGATGGGAGGGGGGGTAAGGGGATGGGCAAAATGGGTGAAGGGGAGAGGGAGACACAGGCTCCCAGTTATGGGATGAGAAGTCACGAGGATGAAAGGGACAGCCTAGGGAATATAGTCAATGGTATTGTAATCCGGTTGTATGGGGCAGATGGCGGGTCCATTTGTGGGGAGCACGGTATATAGACTTGTCAATCACGATATACATCTGCAAGTAATGTAACATTGTGTGTCAACTATGCTTAAAAAAAAAATGCAACTGTGGATCATATGTTTAAGTGACAACCTCTCATCAGACATTCTTTTCTGGAAAACAGACCCAACAGTGTGGTTGACACCACTTCTGGAGAGTAACGAGATGGCTCCTTAAACTCTTTAGAAGCTCAGCTGGGCGCGGGAGCAGGGATTTCTCTCATACATGGGTCACTTACAAACCTCACTGAGGCCTCTTCGTCCCCTCAAAACCTCACAGCTGAGCCGCTGTTGGTTTGAATTTGCCTCTTTGATCTCGCCATTCTCTCCCGGGCACCTGGCGGGACACAGTACACTAGGCCTCGGGCAGGAGAGGGGCGTCTTTCAGGAAGCCAAGGGCTGCGCTGATTGGCTAAGCCTTGGAATCACTGTCAAGACCGTCCAATCCCGAGGCTCCGCCCGCCGAGTCCCGGTCAAGTCTCGGTGGAGGGGATTCCGGGCCTGGAGGCCTCCGCTGATTACTGTCCGCACCTCGGCCGCCGCCTGCTGCCCAGTGAGTGAGCGCCGGGCCCGCGGGACTGGCCGAAGGCCGATGGGGAGGGGGGAGTCCGCGCGGCCGCCTCTGCCGGCGACCAGCTCCGGGGTCCCGGGCCTGCCGGGCAGCGCGGGGCGCCCGCTCCTCGGGAGCACCCCTAGTTGGATCTCCTCTCGTCCTCCCGGGTGCTGACCGCTATCCCCAACCTCGTTTCGAAAGAGCGGGCTCTCCTCGCAAGGAACCCTGGCTTCTCCAGAATCGATGTAATCGAGCTGGGAAAGGAGGCAGAGCATTATCCGCGGAAATCCGCATACCACTGCAGGAAATACCCAAGTTACGGCATTTGGGTCCAGGGAGCGCGGGTGGAGTTACCATAGGGAAAACCTCCCGGAAGCTGTGGGTTCTGAGCTGGAATTCGCGG